CAGGGTGATGGATGAGTCCGCAAATGGGCTAGTGTATTTTAATTCCTGACCTAGTCGCTGGAGAGAAATGCAATTAAGCGGAGGCACTAGGTGGCACCAGCCTGGCTAAAAACTACTGACTTCTCCTGCAGTTTTTAAAGTCATAATCCATCACCAGACTCTTTCTATAGTCAAATTGTATTCACAAGGACTACATGACTCTATTAGTATTGCATTCATGGACGATGAAGACTTCAGTTGTTTGCTTTTTATTGTTCGTGTCTGTTGCTGACAGAGGGAGCTCCAATGCCTAAATGGCTCACTGGAAACAGAGTTGAAGTTTATAAAGCCACTACAATGCATAATAGGTGTTTTTTAAAGTCTATGGCAAGGAAGAAAAGTTCTAGTAGAGTTTACACATTAACGGGAGTGTGTAGCCTGTGCTTTTAATGGTTTAAAACATTTACTATAATCACAAATTAACATGGGTTAGTACCTTCACCTGCAGATAGAGGACACATCCAAGTTTGTCTCATTCTTAGTTTATGGACAGGCCTCATGTGAAAGCTCAGAACCTCCAGAATTCCCTCCCTGAGCTGTAGAGGCTGCACTAGCTCTGATCTATGACTGGCTGCAGGTTCTGGGGTTTAGGTAGTGACTCTTCAGATCAGACAGAGGTATTTTTTTAATATGACCATTCAAATTTGAAATCATTGTACTTATGTAACCTTATCCTTAGTACAAATTTGTCCTTCAAACATTATGAATAGACTCAGCACCTCTCCAGACGCGTGCATGTCTTTGGTTTGTAGGAGGTAAAACTGTTAAAGTACCACAGTGCAGTACCATGTTGAGAGCTGTACTGTAGCGCTGTAGCAGTGTCTCTGGGACCATATGTGAGCCTGGCATGAATGCTAAAGCCCAGAGAGCCAGAGGAGATCACATTCTGTTCTTATGGTTCTGCTGTAATTGGATAATGCTCAGAGTATGTATTTAACAGCAAGTAAGAGACACTGTGTTATTAGAGCAGCAGAAGAAGAGCACTGCTGTTGGAGCTGGCATGTTCTGAGACACATACAGTCTACACGTAGGTATGGGGGAAATAAGGGGATATTTTGGGTATTTTGGATGTCATCGGTGATTGTAAAAATTAAAGATGATATTGATACTGATGCTATTAATCTTCCCTTGGGATGTGATACTAATTCAAGGCACTATTTTGTCACATGTGCTATTTGGCTTTAATCTGCACATTCTTTTGACACAATCTGACCAGAAAGCTACAACAGGTGAACTGGTTTGTGCTATTAAAAATGTCTCTTTAAATCAAACATCTAAACAGGACCATGAATGCTTATATTGATCACTGGCTCCTGAAAATGTGCTGTTAATATCTGTTTTGTATTTCGTTTTCACCCTTCACACATGTTTAGATCACTAATGCTAAATTAAAAGATTCTACTTCTTATTCTTCAATTTACGAACAGAGATGCACTCCACAAAGCTCCTGAAGCAAATCTATTATTACACCAGACTGTTGATGTGAATGTCTGTGTCAAAAGAATAATATTTGAAATAAAACTAACCTTTGTTGTTGAGGGACTATTTTCTCATATATCAGTCCGCCAATATGCCAGTCTGCCAAGATCTATTCTATCAGGATGCAAGGTTGGTTTTACTTCTAAAATTATTCTATCGACACAGATGTTCACAATGACAGTCTGGCGTTATAACTCTTTTGCTTCGGGTGTTTTGTGGAGTGGGTAAGACTGTTTTTAGTGGCAGGCTATCTACGCTCATTGCACTAGCCTAGCCTCAGCGACTTCTGAAAATACAAGAACTGGATCGAATACTTAAAAAAAAATGTCTCCACACGTCTCAAACACTCCCTTGTCCCTTAAAGGCTGTTCACCTAAACATCTGTTGATAATAGCCACGCTGCTATTTTGTAATTTCAAAATTCTTCACTTCCCACAAGTACCAGCTGGGGGCACCAGATAATCCAAACATTCTTAGTAATACTAAAAATTGTACATTTATCCATAGTGACCAATTGCTATAAGTCTACTTTAGTTTAATTTAAAAAACTGGCAACCTATTTTATCTTTTATTTAATTCAGGAAGTTATTTATTTTCATTATAAGTCATTTATTTCAGATATCTACAGTAATAAAACTCAAAATGTTACAGTTTATTGTTCATGCAAATAAAAGTTCTACACATTAATAACAATGATTTAATTTTAAAAATTTTTTTTTATTTAGTGTTAATGGTATATTTTCTTTTTTAAGGTAAGGAATAATCTTAATTTAACAAAAATCTGGACTCCAAAATCAACAGCCATATCGAATTGTGAATCATCTCATCTCTAGTGAGAAATAGCACATTTTCGTCCCATTCTAAGTTATAAAACTGGAAATAAAAATCTTTAAAATCACTTATTTTCACAAAGCCTCATAATTCTAGTTCCTTGAGGACTCATTCTTATAATCCTGCTTTATAGTTAGCGATAATATGGCGACGTGGGAGGGAAGTTCAGGTCCATAAAGTTGTGCAGTAGTCTTAAGTATAGATTTTCTGAACTTATAAAAATGTTTTCCTTGAGGCAGTTTGACTTTCTTACTGGCCGGACTGTTATGTGGGCTGGGGTCAGACTGAGGGGGTTCACTGGTGCTACAGCATTGGGAATATAACTAGCTATTATTAATGTTATTTATAGACTTTATTGTCCTTGCATTTGACCCACCTTTCTACCAGTGTGGCGGTGTCAGAGCAGTGGGCGACTGGGCATCCAACTTCACAATCTTAAGCCAGAAACTTGATCAGAACTAGTTGGAAGATTAGCCCACAAGATAATTTATAACATGAGCTAAAAGCACAAGTTAGAGGAGCAAAGCAACAAGGTCACATGTTCAATTCCTATAGGGCTGCAAGATTAATCGCAATCAAATCGAAATTGCAATTTGAATGGGCGTAGTGAGCAAATCACAAAGGTTAAAATTGTTGAAGTACCGTAATTTGCAGTTTAGAACATGTTCTGAAATGTGTCATTTCATTTGTCAGTTCTTCTGGAAGTGTAATTAATATCAAGAGCGTAGTTTTGTTCTCAGCTTTGGTGGGGACATTATCAGCTAATCCCACTAAACACACACAGTCTGGGCAGGTCCCAAATAAGTGAGTGTTGGTTTCATTTTTCAGTTTGCAAAATGTACAGTTTGTGCGCATTGTTCTGAGATGATTCTTTAGTGGATAACAGCGATGTAGAAGTTTGTAGCAGATTTCTCTTTGCTTGTTGGTGATGAGATATTTGTGAGGGCATGTCCGTATATTTTTCCATGGAATATTGTCAGTAGAGTCCGACTGCACAGTGCACGAATAGGGCTCCGTTTGGGAGGTGCACTTGTGGTGATAGTTGCTCTTTTTCCACAGCGACTGATTATAAGGCTAGTTTAATTGAAGATGAAGCCAGGTAAATTCCTTTTGAAAAGTTTTTCAAAGTTTGGTGCAGCGTCTTCGCTCACGCCTGTTCTGAAATGTGGTTCTTGTATTGGTTTGTCAGTTCATTTGTCAGTCATTTGTCAATTCTTCTGGAAATGTAATTAACATCAAGAGTGTGTAGGCTCCTGGCTCCACTAATGACATCACTCTGTTGCAGCCAATGAAATTGCGGCAGGAGTAACCCTGTCGTCCTATCACTGAATACATCTCAGAACGAAAATGTGAACTAAACAAAATGTGAACTGAAAACCTGTTAAATTAATACTGTTGAGTTTGGAATAAATGTATATATTTGCAAAGTAATAAAATCACCATGGAAACAAGCACCCAAGTTATGCAGTGCACCTTTAAAACATTGTAAATCTAATCGCAATTGCAATGCTTGTTAGAAAGACTGCAATTAACTATATTTTTTATAAATTGTTAAGCCCTAAGAGCCGTGTGGGCTCTTTCTGTGTGGAGTTTGCATGTTGTAAACAAGAACGGCCAACTGACCATAAACTACAGCGGGAACAAATTATTATTACAGTTAATTGACATATGAATGTGTCGCCTTGTAAAGTCTGCTGTGATTAAATAAAATAAACGGCACATGATGTTCCGCATTGTACAGTGAGATTTATATTATTTATAAACACAGTATATGAATATAATCAAATAAAAAACACATTACTGTAACAAACATTGAGCTGTTACACTGAGAGCGCCCCCTGCAGGTTTGGAGCACTTCTGTTGTGGTGACTCTTTATGCAGCATTTTTCGTTTGCTGGTGTTTTCTTGGTTTTTCATTTTGTGCTTTTTGCAGCGTTTCTCTATTTGCGGCGCATTCGATGATGACTCATTTGTCTTTGTTTCTTTGTACCTCATTTAAATTTGTGTTTGAGTTTGTAAATTTGCATTGTTTCTGTACTGGAAGCTCTTTTCTCTAACGCCACTGCGGTGCATTTGACCACCGTCGGCTTCCCTAAATATATGAAATAAAATATATGTTGTTTATATTTTAGATTCAGATGCTCAAAGTATCCACCTTTTGCTTTGTTGACAGAGCTGCAAAATCTTAGCTTTCTCTCAATGACATTTTTGATGAAGTCTTCAGAAATGGTTTTCACTTTACCGCTGTACATTGTCACGGTTCTAATTTATATTGGGTTTATTTTTTGTTTACAGCATCCCATATGTATCATTCATTGTTTTGATGCCTTCAGTGAGAATCTGCAGTGTATAATCTATCTATTAATGTGTGTTTGTTTGTCTGTTCCACACATAACTCTCGAACCGTTCATCCGACCGATCTCAGATTTGAAGGGTGCCATCCTAATGGGATGGGTGTGTGCAGTGCCAATTTTCATGTTGTTAGGACAAAAAATGCCAAATATCTGGTAAAATAAGTGCTATATAATCATGAAAATAAAGAAGACAAATGAAAACGTGTGTAGAGTGTAGTCCACATAAGTGTAAGTGTACCGTACTTGTGCGTGTTGTAACTGAGTGAAACCTGACCTGCTGGTGCTTGTGTGTTGCAGAGGCGTGGTGCGTGTGGACATTAACCTGCAGGATGTGGATATTGACCAGTGCTCCACAGACGGATGGTTCGCCGGGACGCACACATGCAACCTGACCACGATGGAGGTGAGTGAGCTGGGACCGGGCCAGAGAGGAGAGGGGGGTGGAACTCAAAATAACTCCACTGGGGCAGGAGTTGTCACTCAGAAAAGTGTGATTAATGCTTTGCTTTTGCTTTGTTTTCTTGGGTCAAAAAACAAAGCAAAACCTTACAGAGGGAACAGTTTTGACTATAACTATATAACTATAACCAGTGTTGGGAGTAACATGTTATAAAAGTAACAAATTACTCTAATGCATTGCTTTTTGCAGGGGAAAAAATTTAATATTTTACTTGGTACAAATGTCCGTAATGCGCATTACAATGTTTTTTTAACCTGAATTGAAGTGGTGTTTTTTTCATTTTTCTTCATACAAATTCGCTAAAATCACCGCGATATCAGCAGCGGTGAAACGGGGGAGACGCACCTGTGTAGACCGTCGGGTGACCATGGGCAAAAGGATTTGGTTTTCTCTTAGGGGTGGTTCTAGATTCCAAGTTCTAGTCCAAGATTTGTCCTGGTTTAGTCCTGGTTTAGACCTGGTTTAGTCCTGGTTCAGTCCGGATTCAGCTCTGGTTTAGTCCTGGTTTAGACCTGGTTTAGTCCTGGTTCAGTCCGGATTCAGCTCTGGTTTAGTCCTGGTTTAGTCCTGGTTTAGACCTGGTTTAGTCCTGGTTCAGTCCTGGTTTAATCCTGGTTTAGTCCTGGTTCAGTCCTGGTTTAGTCCTGGTTTAGTCCTGGTTTAGTCCTGGTATGATACTGTCATGATACGGTAATATTAATTTCACTACTTACTCACTAATTACTACAAACTGGCGAAACTCTAAACTTGTACGTAACTAACTAAATCAAACTTACATTGTACTGTACCAAAACTCCATGCATCATTATGTCCGGCCTTAGATCCCACTGTCCCCATAGCGACCATCAGCAGCCCTGTACATTGTCCTTCTCCCCGTCTGCCCTTCTGCTGTCAGCTCCGTGGGGGGAGATGAGTCTGTGTTAAATCCACCTGCCCCTGTGCGAAGGCCTTTCTTTTATCATAGTGACAGTTTGTTTGTCCAAAGTCTTGTGCTGTGAAATGAGAGGCACTGATGGCTGCCGCTATCCGACCATGAGACACTTTGAAACAGAGCCGTGCAAGTTTTTCTTAAATATACTGTATGTCCACTCGGATCAAAGCTGTACATCATATCAGCTTTTTTAAAATCTCAATTCTTTAAAGATTAGAATAACACTACAGCATAAATCCAAAAATAAAGCCTGAAAAAAGATTGTAGTTTATTAAGAATGACCAGGAGGGCCCATGTTGCGCTATTTTCTGATCTAATAACGTTGTTTCCTCATCACAAACAGACCTGGAGTTGTGTTTTGTTTCATGTTTAACACACAAACCCTGCATATTTAGGCTGACTTCTTCTCTCAAACATAAAGCACAATTTCACCTTGTTATATCATGTGGTAATTAAGGAAGTGTTTCACTGTGTTTTTAAACTGTATACATCTTCACCAGAATCATTTGAATGATTTCAAAGTTGGATTTGCCAATCTCTACTGAACTAAAAAGTAGCTGTAACTTGAAAACTACCATTTCATGACATCACAAGATGACTAATAATAATGAAGGATTACGCAAACCTGTGTGAATGAAACTAAACACAACTCCAGATATGTTTTTGAGGAGATAACAACCAAAGGTGGGACCAAGTTGTTGTTTTGCGAGTCTCAAGTAAGTCTCAAGTCTTTGACCTCAAGTCTGAGTCAAGTCCCAAGTCAAAGACAGGAAAGTCCGAGTTAAGTCTCGAGGCACTGGCCCATGAGTACAAGTCAAGTCCAAGTTGCTTGCTTTGAGCTTCAAGTCTTTAAACCCTAGCTTAGATTTTTGTTATTTATATGAATTTTAAACTAAATTGTACTTAAATGTCATGGTGTAATTCTATATGACTATTTATATAGTTATAGAAATGCAAATGTTTCCTTTTTTTGTCTTGACAAGATTTTAGTGTGAATCATTACAGTCAGAACAGAAAGAATTCAGATTTAAAAGTGTTTAATGACAGTTATTTTGTCATGTAGTCTGCACTGAAATGGAAGGATCATGCTCTGTGTTGTTCCCTCTGTTTTACTGTATTGTACTAAATATTACTGTATTGCACTGTATATTACCGTAGTACATTTAAGGATACAACATCACAGTACTTCAGTTAAAGCCAAAGTAACAAACAGAGAAATGGGAGGGGCATGTTCCAGTTTGTTCTTGTAAGATTCAGCACCACATTTATCAACTGTGAAGAGAAAAGTATTTTCTAAACATATATTTTTAGAAGCATCAAGTCTCCTCAAGTCAGAGGCCTCAAGTCCAAGTCACGTCCCAACTCATTGACCTTCAAGTCCAAGTCGAGTCCCAAGTCTTCATCCATTTTATCAAGTCAAGTCTCAACTCTCTCTAGTCCAGGGTGTTCAAACTTTTTTCATCAAGGGCCACATATGTAAACACAGACAAAGCAGAGGGCTGATCAAGGGCCGTAGACTGGTGCTCAATACAGTGAATAATTGAAATATGTGCATATTACACACATTAGAATGAGCCATCAGACTTTATTCATGCTAAGATCCTTAAAACCACACAATAAATATTACATATTAGCTTTATCAAGGTAGATTTTAAAAAAACTTGCAGTAAAAAGTTATTTTTTAATTGATGCAAGGTAATTTGAGCAAATTCACATGGAAGCCTGAGGGCCAAGAAAAATTTGTCTGAGGGCCGCATTTGGCCCACGGACCATAGTTTGGGCATGCCTGCTCTAGTCTGACTAAACTCTGCTTAAATCCAATTTGTGTAATTTGGCCCTTTAACTGTACACTGTATCTGTGCAGGTTTATGAAATTTAAAATCCAAGTCTTACATACAGTTCCTTTAAACTCCCCAAAGAGTATATTTTATGCTCAAAAAAGCCAAGTTATTGTATTGTGAATGTAGATATTGACAGTACTTGATAAGCCTGCCTTTACTACACACGCACACACACACCACACACACACACACACACACACACACACACACACACACACACTCTCGTGGCTGTGATTTGCTGTGTCCGCTGTACACTGGTCAGCGGCCGGATCAGGCTGGAGGATCAGGTCTCTGTATAATGCATGTGCTGTAATGGATGGCACTGAGCGCTCTTTAATAATGCATGTTTCTCTTTGTCTCAATACTTCCACAGAGCACTGGACACTGGACACACACTCCTCACACAAGACAGCGCAGAGGGGAGGGGCATACTAAGACTGAGCACTAACTATTATGGCAAAGTAGACTCATAGGTGGAGTTATGAATCATTACTGGAATCAATACTCCAGTTGTCAAAGCATTTAAAAATGTAAATCAAAATATCAATTATAGTCCAAAACAGGAAGAAGTCATCCTTTGAATAGGCCTCATACTCAAATTCTACAGTTCTCAAACAGAAACAGAGGGATAAAGTCATAATAATAAGGTTATACAGCTTAACTGGTGGCAGATTGACAGAAGCTTTCAACCATCACCATCACTCACACACACCATTTTCACACTAGGCAATGTGTGTTAAGTGTCTTGCCTAAGGACAAGGGCAAGGACAAGAATTGATCCTCTGACCTTCAGGTTGGGGTGTCACCGCTCTAATCACTGAGCCTCTGTAAGTTAAATTGGGATAAAGGTGAAATGATTTGGAGTGATTGGATCTGCAAGAGTGGTCCAACCTGCTTCACTTTTCCACCTGAAAAAGCTGTGCAGAAAATGTATGCATGTGAATACAAACAAAGGGTGTGTGGGAAGTAGGAACAGCTTCTCCACAGTCTTCATCACATTCAGAAAACGCCAAAAAAGCTAAACTGCTGCATAAAGAGTCACCAAAATGGAAGTGCTCCAAACCTGCAGGGGGCGCTCTTAATGTAACAGCTCATTGGAGAGACTCACTGGATGCTTTGTTTCTGTACTTGAAGCTTTTTTCTCTAATTGAGACACATTTGGCCGTTGCTAGGGCTGCTCGATTCTGGAAAAAATCATTATCACAATTATTTTGACTAAAATCACTGTTGTTCAAGTGGTTATTTTTTAGTTATACGATGCTTTAATTCAGCATTTCTCTCTCAAAAAACCCCCCACAACAAACACTTTGTTATTGATCATTTTGATAGTTTTGCGATGTACAAAACATAACATTTATAATAAAATAAACTTTGAACATGAAATAAGACATAGAAAAACATAAAGGTATCCAAATGAAGCTATATATCCAGCTGTTCTACAATCTCTGTATTTAAAAAAAAAACAAAAAAACACACTTTACTTATACTTAGGGCACACTCACACTAGGACTTTTGTTTACCACTGTTTACATGTGGCGCAACAGATCTAAAACTTTTAGCAGAGAAAATAAGACATGCAGCAGAAATATCTATTAAATAGTGAGGCTGATATGAGTCCTGCTGCAATACGCTCCACCCTGAATATATGGATATAATCAGTATCATAGTTACCCATTACACATATTGCGCACAGTGCATAGGGCACCAAGTGTTTGTGGGGGTAACACATGAATCCTCACAAAACTATGGTCCTCACTTTTGCCAGGAGGTAAATAATTTCAACTCGATTTTATGAGTTTGGAAATCATTTGACACACAAATTGAAATCATGATCAAAATTGAATTAAATGCACATCCTTAACCATTGCAGTGTGTTTGGTTCCCATTGGTCACTGTATAAAACCTCTGCGGGTGTGTTTTTGATGAGGGAACGTTATAACATGGTAGAAAGCTCAAATAAATTCTGCTTATATCCCTCTTTAAAAACATGTGTAGTACAGTTCTCAAGCCTGAACACAGCATTCTGAGAGTCCTGTGGGTGTTGGGGACATTGTGTTTTGTCAGAAGTGTAGGGCGTTCAGGTCCGGGGGCAGACTTCATATGGGATGATGATGAATGCTCCAATCAATTAGCTTATTGAGGAGAACAAGTGCAGGCCCCCGAGGGACAGA